AGCGCTGCACATGCTTTCGATCAGCTCTTAATGCCACAAATCAACCGCTCCTCTAGTCAACAAGCCTCTCTGACGAACAGGTGAAGCCTCCAGACTAGCAGGATCAATTGTCTCCTAGCTTCCATATATATGCCCATTCTCATCGACACAGCCTTGTCGTTGCTTGCCAGCACGCCCCTACCAAAGCACAAGCTGCGGAGGCAACTCGCAAACATGCCTCCTCCTCAGGCTGCTCTCCTCAGCAACCACCGTCGGCACGACAAGCCGGTCAATGGCAGTAGGCACGCCGCGTTTGTGCGGCGCTCGATGAAGCAGCGAAATTAAGCGTGTTGCCCCGTTACATATCTTCCAAGTTTATGGCAGCGCCTACTGTGTGGCGCGTAGCATGACCCTCGCTCACTGAGGTCTGTAGATACGAAGGGAGACGCTAGCCTTCCTGCTTCCGAAATATAATATTTTGGGGGGGAAGGAAGTGGAAATCGTACGTTGGAAAAACTCGGAAAAGAGCCAGACTTGCGTTTTTGGGGTACGACTACTGTTGCTGACATTTTGCCTCTTCATCTACTATTAGGGCGAGTCGATTGATGAGCTCCATTGTTGTGCCGGGCGGCTTATCTATGTAGACCCCTCCATATGGAATTATTCCAAAAATTCAGTGTGGTAGCTGAAGATCGGACTCGGGCTGGCCAGAGCCTGGGCCAGCGGAAGTGGGCATCGCTATACGACAAGCTGAATTCTTCACAGCAAGACCAACTACAGAGGCAAGATGGGCAGGGTTTAAATAGATCAAAATGGATTCACAAAACAGAATTTCAAGCGCCAGTTATATAATCTTTCCCCACGCGGAATGTCACTTGATTGGATGCTCACAGCACCTAGGTACAAAAGCTAGAATTAAGCAAATCTCGCCGCACACAGAGCGAGTACCCACAGAGGGCCATTTCGGCGCCGCACCCAGAACCAGTATCTAAGAAGAGGTACCTCAAATGTGCTTTTGGTGTGCATGCTTCTGCTGTTTTCCCCGGCAGACACGTTTTAGCAGCCTTCAATACGGCTCACGGGCTTGGTCAAGCAGGGCCGCGATCTCTCTTGAGCGTGTAGACATCCCAGTTGGCCCTCTGGATTGCTTCCACATAGCCAAAAAGGCCACCCCTGGCTAGAAAGCCTGCCATACGCACCTGCATCGACAGCACCCAGCAGCAGGGAAATTGCACGAGCACAAGGAAGAAGCCGCATCAAGAATAGCTCAATCCGGCAACAGCACAGCTTATTGTACATGTAAGAAGCCTCTCACAGAAAGACCCAGTGTTTATTTCTTTACAATCTAGGCCACCTTGTATGTTCTGCATGTGCAACAGCAGGACGCACGTCAAGAAACAGCCGTTTGGGCAGTTGGTTTGTCTAATTCCGACAGTGTACCCGCTGTCATCTACCAAACTCGCGTTAGCCAGCCATTGGAAGCATTTACTTTACAAAGGAATAGTCTATGTCACTCAGATCATCTTGTTGCACGGAGTTGGGAGCTGAAGCGCACAATTACTGTGGAGGCGCAACGCGTTGCGCTCCATGGCCGGGCTCTTTGGGGAGAGACCTGACTCCAGACTAAAAATAAAATAATAGAAAGCTCCTGACAGTTTCTCCAAAACAGCTTGTCTTGTCTTGCACAAACCCGTTCGAGTTTCCGGCCTAAGGTAAGAGGGACTGCGAATGGTTTTCTGTCTACACACTCAAGGCACTCCAAGCGCACACAGCCAGGTGTACATAGGATCTGATAAACGCAACCACAGCATTGTATCTTCTTTTAATCTACCAACAATACTCTGCAACCAATAAGACATAGTAACGGACAAGCTACTTGGTCAATTCTCTACTGATTCTCAATTAAGCATACTCCTTTTGTAGGCGGTTACGTTGCACCTGAACATTTTCTACTACACTGTTAATATTTTACTGGGAATTGATACAAAGCTAACTAGTTCATTTGTCTGTTCATATGCGTTACTTATTGCAGAGGACTGCTATCACGATGAAAGAAAGCGCAATGCTGTGCTCGGGGCCGCTTATTGCAGTGTGCAACAAGATGGAAGTGCTGAAGGGTGCACTTATGCGCACCGTGACTGTCCCTCTACCCTTATGTCGGGACACTTGAAGGGAGCAGGCAGGGAAAGGCGGAAAATTGTTGTGGGGATCGAACTCAGTCCATACCGCAGTTTTATTGAGGAACACCTCAAAATTCCATCCACGTCGATGTTTAAGTTTGTAATGAATCGGGAGAAAAGTGTCCCCATACGGAGACCTCAGGGAGGGCGTTAACGTCTGCAGGCGTGGGTTCCAATGGCTGGGTTAGTCACAGTTTCCTCTAATAAACAGCCTGCACCTGAAAGTGACAATACAGCATCGGCGCATATGAGAGCATTACTGAATTCCACGGGTGGCGAGAAGGCAATGTGGACTGTTTGTTGCCATTAAACATCCCTCTAATTGGTTCTACCACTTAGATAATTGTGCTTCACCAATGGGGAGCTGAAGCGTGGCCATAGCAGGTGTGCTTCATATTACCGAGTTCTTGGTGGCTTTGCGAATTCATATTGCGTAATACCCGCACCCCAGCAACTATTAGCAAAAGCGTTCCATGTAGGAGGACGGAAAAGCTCGCTACAGCTTATCAGCAGGTAGCGTCCTGTGTCTACAGAAAAGTCGCGTGCCATTGACGTTCTTTTGCTTTGTCGTTCAGTCACGCACACTTTTACTGGAAGTCCGGCGGGTCTTACAGCATGCTACATTTTCTGCGCAGGAGCCAGTTCTCCATGTTGTCATACCAACTTGTTTGTGGGGAGATGTGAAAGGTATTTAGAACACTTCTATAGGCCATGCAAACTTATCTAAAGAAGAGCAGAAAAACCACCAAAAGTTACATATCCAACGCAAAAATGCCCCTTCTTACCCAATGCGGTGACATATCAAGAGGCAAGTTTTTTCATTACCTTTTGCTTCATTGCATTGTGCTTTATAGTTTTGTGGGATTTTTCGTCATGAGCCTTCTACTTCGGTAGGGTGTGTGCGCCCTTTGAAGCGCAGGTCTTGCTTTCACAAGTTACCAACCAAACAAGCGACAAGGACGCATGCAAAAAAGGTAAGCTGATAAGAAGTCTCAATTCAGAATGATTCGTTTGCTAAGTAAACCCTCCGTCTGTTGTAATTCACTACAATCACTCCTATTCGCCTTATAGAGGACCATGGCAACGTTTTGTCCTAATTTTCGCAGGAAAACAATAAAAGCCCGATATAACTCTACAAACACATTCACAGTAAGCCAAAACGTCAGACGGCTAGACAAATCCCGGCGGTAAGCCAGTAACACTTGTTGAAATGCTGAAGCCTCATGCTATCGGCGGCAAGCATGCTGAATAGTAGGCTCTCATATGCGTCTCTTGCTAAGCAGGAAATCGTGAAACACAGCTGACGAATTGCGGGTCCTAAAGAAAACACTTCGACATAGCCACATGTCCAGCAACTTCATGTTGCGTATCTTGAGTTATGCCCAAACTTAAATCCCACATGGATGCTCTAGAAGTAATTGGGAGGAAGTGTTTTCTTTTTGCATATCTGTTGGTACCTGAATTTGTTTTTCCCATCGTCCTTGGACTAGCACACACTGGATCATGTGATGGATCTTGCCAAAGATACATTGTCTCGTGGGCTTCTTTAACATCTCCTTCCTACGCCTCGATTGCCTCTCGTTGACCAATACACTGCATTGAACTCTATAGAGTGCTCTTCTCACAGAGATACGCTGCCTTGTGGACTTCTTTTATATCTTCTTTCTATGCCTGGATTGCTTGTGGTAGATCGAGACATTGCGTTGAACGCTGGAGGAGTGCCTTCCTTGGGCAATGCAATCATGGATTGGCTATTTCAAAAATATGCTCTAGAAAAGTAGGCGTGGGCGCATTTGTACACTTTAAAAAGAATTTGCCATTACACAAATCTACCAATGCCAATTTCGTTTCCCTTATGTGCTCTGGTGCCGCTTAGATTGTCCACTCTCACCAAAGCCTGGGGACCTCCTACCAGCCGTCTTCCTGTATAACCCTTTCTGCCATATCTTATGGAGCTGTAGCTTACAAAACCCCACAAATATAGTCGATTCAAGCTGTAATTTACAGAGCAATCTAAAGGGTATATTGCAAAGGGAAAAGAAAGAGAAATATCAAGGCCTAAGCAGGTTATTATGGAGGTCATGCCGGAACTCGTAAGTCATTCGGTAGCCATGGGGCCCTTGACGCGGAGAGATGAAAAATGTGAAATACAAAATTCATTTGGTGCTTCTTGGGAGCCTCTGATTATCAGATAAACTCTTTTGAAATAAGCAGATCTACCGCGCTTGCTGTATCCAACCTGTACTTTCTTGCACAGCGATTATCACAAGGTTTCTTAGATAACCCTTTGACAGGGATATCATGAGGGGTTCGGCGGGCAAATAGCCTCGATAAGCACATCCTGAGAATGAAAAAGGTCATATCCTTGGCGTTCTTGCTTGGTGTCGCACTCGCTTGACAAGCCCTCAAAATGCATGTGTGTATTGTGGTTGCTTTTGCCAAAGGCATCTAAAATGTAATTTCGACTCCACGGGCTTAAGAAATAGCAGTCGTCAAGCGCTTTTTCCTGAAAGTATCTTTTGACTTCACAAGGGTTGTAGAGGAGCTATTGTCCTCGATTATTCATAAGAAGAAACGACCGGGCTTATCAAGAATGTGGTACTGCAATTTTTGTTGGGTAAAAATTACGTGGACATTTGCTATAGCAGCTTATTCCAGACGCAATCATCCCCCTTTTGTTGCACTCTTAAGTCGGCTTTCTCTTGGACTGCGCCCCTTTTGCTCGAGGCCGTCTCCTGCCTCAGAATGTCCTGTGTGTTGCATGCCTACTGTGCCAGTGCCATACCTTTCTGGCTTCTACACACTAGCGGGATTCCCCTACTACAGCGTGATGATGTATGGCTCACTCCTGACAGGAACCGTACTCTATCACCTCCAGAGAAGCACCCATCGTCCTTCATGCTTTACTCCCTCTCTTTGTGATGAGCCTTCTTGATTGAGCCTTTTTGGGGTGTTGCTTAATGCCTGCCTTGCAAAGCATCCAACAAAAGTAGCACGGCTGCGGACGCTTGGCTTGTTTAGGGGCTAGCTAATCTTTGACTCACTTCAAAGAGCTTGCTTGACCAGACATAGCCTGCATATGAGGTGTTGGATGTTTGAGGGCAACGGATGAGCTGTGAAGGACGGGCAGGAGAGGCTTGTGTCAACGCTTTATTGGAAGTTAGGTTCAGAGGCTTAATAGACAGACGGCCGCCTAGGCATGCGAGCAGCCGTTTGCTTCCCCATAATGTAGTGGTGATGCTACTGCTGGTATGTGACATCGGATGATCATGAGCTGTGCAGCTGCCTAAACACTACAGTACCAATTGGTTGGCATAAGGACACTCAGGAAAGCTTACAAGCCACGCAATGACAAGACATCAGATCCCATGAGCTCTTGTGCTTGTAATAATATGACTACGGGTAATTATCGGTCTTACACGTCCAAACTTCCGGGTTTCAATGCCACCTCCTGCCAATTTGTGTGCTCGCAGCCCCCAACCCCCACATGGCACTCATCGGTATACTGTGTTCTTTAAGGAATTCGCACAACCAACTTAATAATGTCGTGATTTAGTAGTAGCCGCCTTCCAAGGCTGGTGTGTGGAACGGGGGGCATTATCGTGGGCCCCCCACCCTAAAGGTGACCCTACTGCACATCATATGCCGTCAGAGAGGGTTTCCCCGCGCTATCTGTAGCATGTAGGCAGAATGCTATGCGCTCTTATGAATAGGCAATTCTTCCTGCTGACCACTGTCCCTAGGGTTCCCGTGTACGCGCATACCCCTGGCTAACCAGTGCGTGAGGCGCGCCGGTTCTGGAGGCGATGAGATATTGGTTTGCTTTCCAAACCTACGATGAAATTTGAGTAAATTTGAAAAACAATTTATTTCAGATAGATTTACCAGTAGAAGGAGCTATAGGAAACCGAAGGCATGCGGTCTCTCCCCCTGGGCTGTTGCTGCGTTGCAGATGCTTTGATTGCTGGTGCCCCTGGACAACCACAGGAGTTTGCGTTGCCTTTTCTCTCGCTTTTGATCAGGTTTATAAGATCTATCTTTATTTCCCCGCTCCTTGATCCCCTAGGTCTCATTTTCATTGCTTTGACGGATAGGCAGACACGAATAGGGGGGAAATAAGAAAGAGGTGAGATGTTAAGTAGAATTCTAAGCTCTATGTGGTGCTTCCGCTGTTGATGCTGCTCTCTTTCGTGTCTTTATTACTGCCAGACCCAACTGACCCATGCGACTTACTGACTTTACCGCTTGTTGCGTACCTTTCTGTGTCCCGCCGTCTTGTTCCATAGAAGCTATGTTTGCCTTTTCCCCCATCAGGCACAGGAGGTAGAGCCCCTCGTCGTCCCCAACTCTCTCCCCTCCACGCAAATGACCCGTCGGTATCTTCGGCTGCATGGGACCTTCGTCCCTTGTTGCCTTCTACTCGTTGGCGCCGTCTGCGCCCTCTGGGGTGCGTCAGCAGATCCAGATGGTGAAGCCCTTCGTAGCGACAGAACTGCAGCAGTTACAGCTGATGGGGTCCATAAAACTCTTTCGGGAGGCTCGGTACAAAACCCGGCAATCAATGAGCTGTTGACAGTACAGGACCTCGCAGGGTTGCAAGGGGTGGGACTCTCCCCTAATCATAAACCCTGAAGCGGCCGCGTTGCAAAGAATACAGTTTCCTCTTATTTGTAATCATCTCTTTCTAAATATATGTTCACCTGCTATGCCTTCGGGGCCTTTTTGCTATCCGTGGGTCACGCTCTTTCGGCCTAGCTTGCACTCACTCTTCGTTCAGCCCCCCAATGTGTCGACGTCTATGTCAGGACCTGAAGCAGCTGAATCGTCTGCTAAAGGAATTGGGTATGACGTTTTACCTGGAACAATCACGGGACATGACAATGTTCATGCCTGTTGACTCGGCCTTTTCCCAGCTGCCTTTCAACATCCACGAGCTCTCATGGCAGGCAAAATGGCGAATAGTGCAGTTCCACATTATCCCTAATGACATAGTCGACTTAGATAATGAACTCAGAGATGAGTCAAAGAAGGACTTCGAGTCGTGGGAAGGAGCTCCACTCCAGATTACCAAGGAAGCTCCTAAGGAGGATGAGGAAAACGGAGTTGCCTCAGTGGAATATGTCGTAAATGGAGAGGCGAAAGTTATTTCCAAACCGCCCAAGATTGAAACATTCAACGGGGCCACCTACAAGATCAACAGAGTAAGATTATCCTACGCGGTAGAGCACCTGTTGACTGGGTGCCTTACATTGTTATCCAAAAACAGGTCTTGAGTATAAACCATATGGTGGCCATGAGTGCACAGAGGCCCACACGTTGATCGAGAGAATAAGTCGACAGTTGTTGAATGCAGGTTTTGCTGCCGCCATCGATGACAGAGGAGGATCTGAAGCCCGCGAAGCAGGAGCAGCGCATAAATCCAGAAGTCGCGCAGCGCCTACGGCGGCGACCGGCCACGGAGGGCACCCCTACAGTTGCAGTGGAGCAGGAATTAGCCTCTGTGGACGGTACTGTGCAGATGGAGAGATCTGCACGGGACCCCAGGCTTCCTGGTAAGCATTGGAATGCACTCAGCAAAAATGAACTGCTGCACGTTGGGATCGTAAAGTGAATGGCAGACTTATGTACATTTAACCGGATTGCGCGCGCGAGAAAATATATAAGTAATACTATACTGTACATGGGGCATTCACCAGGAAACCTAAAGGAAGTGCAGGCAGACAGTGTTGACCTAACCCTTCAAAGGCAGCTGCATTGAAATACAAATCCCAGACTTGTACTGTCCCTTGCACTGGTCCAATGTTTCTCTGTAGGCGTTTTTTGCCAATTTCATCTTGTAGTGTGGTGGCTGTCTGATTTTACCACTGCATGGCTTTTGAATCTATAGGGTTAGCTCTGCGGGTGTTTTGTGGTCTCAGGGAGTTTTAGACCAGACCCCTTGGCGCAGCGAAGTCAAGTGACCCCAGAGTTCGTTAGAGGCATCAACAGCCAGCATGCCCGCTGGGATGACTCTGTGTATCATCGAACCCCAATGTCTCAGGTGAAGGATGAGAGGAAACCTCAGGGTATGCGGCATTGTTTAGACAGATAGTACAATAAGATGAGCAGCGGGGAAACGAAAGAAATCGCACACCCACAATCTGAACACAAAGGGAAGCTACGAAGAATCGGTTACAGACGAGGGCCTCAGATGGCTACGATGTTGAGGAAATTGGAGGCTGAGATAGAAGGGGAGGCGCAAGCATACTGAGACAGGGGTAATATTGTGTATTGTTCTGTGTACTTCTGACACGTGTCCTGTATTGCACATTTTTAGCACTCGAATAGCCACTCTCCTCTTGTATATTCTCCTTGCCACAAGGCACGCCCCCAGGTGACTCTCCCGATCTCTCTGAATTCCTCTGTGTGCATCTCACGCTCGTAGATGAGATTATGGGATTCCAGCAGGAGCCTGAGGATGCTGAAGGGTTTGAGGCGCGCATTAAAGTCCTTGGACACACTGAGGGAGCAGTCCTTCCCACAGATGGCAGTCACCCAGCAATGACACGAATCAGTGGCACAGGTAACCTCGTACACTATACCCTTAATAAGAGGCCCCCGAATACAGATGGACATGCCTACATATTGGAGCTACGAACAATGCACCTTATTTCAACCCCCCCTATAGAGCGTTCAACAAAATGCATCTGCTGCTTACGTTGATCTCCTAGCCCTTGTTCTTTCTCAGTTGGGGACTTTGTTTCGTTCTGCCTGCACACGTCTCTGTGTGTGCGACACATGATTTTGTACTCTGCTATTACCCTAGCATCGTCCCCCACACGATGGTTTTCCTTCCGTTTGTGGCTCCGTACGCCTCCCTCTGAATGTATCAGCCATGTCTTACCGGCATTTTTGATACCTGTAACCCACATCTGCTTTTGGCTGGCCTTTGGCTGTTTAGGCGCTCGTTCCACTGGCATTGGACTGGCCTTTGAGTCTTCTGAAAACCCCGAGTCGGCTCCCAGTGACCCCATTAGCCAATTTATCAACGTTCTCCTTGGAGGGGGCTCTGTACAACCGAAAGAGAGGGTGAAGGATGAGATCAAGAATGAGGCGCCTGAGAATCAACAGCGCAACACCGTGTCTGCTACAGCGAAGAAGCAACAGGGGCAGCAGCGGGAGGCAGAGCCAAGTCTCTTCTCAGTAGCCTTGACCCCTACGGAGGGCCCAAGAGTGCAGGCCTTAGGGTTGACTGAAGGACTCCTTCCGTCCGAGGAGCTCATCACCCAACATTGGGCCAACAGAGGCTCCAAAACTCCTGCTCAGAATGCCAGAAGGTCTGGAGAACAGCAGAAGGCTCTGCCTCCCTTCGCTTCACTTTGGAACCAGATTCAGAGCGTACCATGAGTTTGTGGTGCAGCAATCAGGCCTTCTACTATGATCATTGGGGGCGAAGCTAGGGACGCCGTTCCAGGCATATGTACTTGCCTCTTCCGACTCCAGCATCTTTGATGACTGTAGTTTAGTGCAGGCCTTATCACAGGTGATCCTTATGAGGAGGGCCCCTAGGATAAGCGTCTTCCTCAAAGGGCTCTACCCTGCGTCATCCTTTCTCTTTGCCGCAACAACATGTTACGACGAGCAACTCCCAGGCAGCTCTAGATAATCCTGCGCCAAGGAGCTACTTACTTGAAGACCTCGGGTTTTGTTGTACTGCTGAAGCACTTTAGAAGGTATTTTTTCTTTCATGGAACCGCAGGGGTGTCTTTCGCCCCAGGCAGAATGGGGGTATTGTGCCCACCTCAACGACATCTGCGGTGCGGGAGCACCTTGTATGCGCCGGTATATGCAAGTATGCCGAATCATGCATTCGTGGGCAACCAACGATTAACCTCAATGGTACCTAAGTGTTGCCTGTGTAGAAATACGCCATGGCGCGTAGGCTGTGACATACATGCGTGTGTATGCATTCAAGGGGTATTCCTGCGTGTCCCGCCTATGCTTGAGGAAGGAGCCACCATTATATTGGTTCCGTTCTATGCGTCTCTCCGATGTATCTAGCTAGCTCTGAGATGAATGCACCCCTGGCCTTGAAGTACTCTGGTTGCTATCCATAGTTACAGATGCCTTCATCTTGCTTTGGGTCTTAGAAATTTCTGTAAGGTTGCCCGGTGTAGCTCACCGCCAAAGTAGCTTGGGGAATGTGCCCGCGAAGCAGGGGCTGCGGAGCCGTTGCGCCCTCCACTAAAAGAACAAAACAAAGTAAACGGACATACGAGCACTAGTCTTCTATCGCACCACATGCGGCTCACTGAGGAACTCCCATCAGTAGTTCCAAACACAAGAATATAATGCCCTGTGCTTTTGTAAAGCTACGGACTTCGGCGTTTTAGATTTTCCCAGATTAGCAGAACGGGGAAAAGCACTCCCAGGGAGTCCGCAAATGCGCCTCCATCAGTAACGACAAATCAACTTACAAGAAGGAATGGGGTGCCTCGAAGTGGAGAAACGCTCAGTTGTTGATAGGAAACATGGTTCCCTTTGAAAAAATGAAGCCCTCGGCCTTTAGAGACAGAGCCACTCAAATATTTTTGTACTACCTTCACTTGGTCAGCTTGGCTGAATTCTCCACACTTTAGTGTCTCCACCCCGCTCGCGTGTGCTACCCCTTCAACCTTCTGCAGTGATGAACAGGTGTCGCCTGAGGCTTCTTTTTACTCATACATTGTGGAGGTGGCAGAGACATCTGTCCCGGACAGGCCAAGGAAGTACCTGAACTTGCCCCAGCTCCACTGGCTAGTACTGCCCAGCGTTGCCATCTTGTCAGCCGCTTGAAGCCCTAATGTTAGTGTAAAACTCTCACAGTTGAACTGGAGGGCATCTTATAAACTAGGTTGCATGTGTCGCGCCCTCTTCGTGCCTGTGAAACACTAATCTCGGGTAGGGGAAACAGCGGCAAATTCAAGGGTTAGAAGCCTCGTAAGCTAGGAACCGAGTGGCTACGCTGAGAAGACTCCGACGACAAAAAGGGCAAGCGGATTCGAAGAAAGCAGAGCCGCTGTCTATCTCTTAATCAGGCGAAGCCTATGGAAACAGATATGTCGGGCGGGTGCAAGGATCTCCATCACAACTGGAAAGAATGTTGTCCACATCCGACTAGTGTAGTCGCAGTACTCTGGCTGTTTCGTTGTCCCAGACGTCTACATGTACAAAGCAGCAGCAGCCTCACTGACTAGTCACCTTGTCTTTCAAAATTATACACGCCAAATGCGACTATATCACGCTAAACAACAAACCCTAGACCACCTCAAGGACACTCCGGACGCCCCACCGTCTCTATCCCCGTTGTGCAACCGGCTGTCGCAGCTGCCAAAGACGGGGCTGCTGCTGCTTCCGCCACAATACTGCAGCAAATATAGCGAGATACTGCTTCTACTGCAATGGCTAAACCAGAAACGAAGCCATGAAAGCGGCAGCAGAAAGGGTACTGCTGCTGTGGCGCCAGCGAATCTGCAAGGTAGGTTAATGCGCAGTTTGCTGTTGAATCAGCCGGGGCTACGACACAGCGCCGACATGTAGCAGCGAAAACAAAACACGTAGCCCCTTTCAACTGAAAGACAGGCGACAGATATCCCTCTAGGGCTGCAAAATTGGATAGCCCCTAGATCTGCAACAAGCAAAGCAACAAAAATCGGACGAAGGCCTAAACAAGTTGCAATATGTGACACAGACCCTCACGCACGTTGGCAGCCACAGCGGCACGGAGCGATGATAGTAATTCTGCAAGCCTAACACACAGAAGGCAAAGGCGGTGCCACAGCAGCAACAGCGGTAGCCTATAATGCGTTATTTTACATCGTCAATATCGAGATCGTTGTTGGGTGCCTCCTCTTCTTCTTCACTGCCCGAATCCGATCCTGAGTCCTGAAATTCAATGCCGCCCCCGCCGCCTTCTTCTTCACCAAAGGCGTCCGTCTCGTTGATCTTCGCATTGGCTGGCAACTCCCCGTAGGACTTAAGAGCCCGTGCCTCGTCGGGAGTGTACCTACAAGCCAGCAGAGAAACGTCTACTCTCAACTATTCAAGCAAGAGAAAAAGGGACAATAAACGCTTGAAAGAGCCGCCCACTATCTCACACCCCTTCTAGTTATTGCTCGGTATCGACAACTCCAAGCTGCCCCCAAGCAATATTGCTACTATTCTCTTAGTCTGCATCTGACGACCTTGCTGCACTTATGTGGCTAGCTCGCCTCGCCGATACCCATAAATCTGAACAGTCTAAAGCCCCCAAGTCATCCTATTCTTCCTCCTTATTTAAGCCACAAGTTTGAAAGTAGCCATCTATGCCCCCTGTCCACCTACAGGAAGTACAACCACCCCTACTTGTGCATCCTTTGGAACCAATGGAACACCTCTTATCCTTCCTCATGAAGCCATATGCAGCCCCTCATTCCCTTCCCCTCCATGCCCTGAAGTTTCTATGCAACTATCCAAGCAATTATTGCTCTCTCTGCGCCTGTACACATGTACTTTGCGATGACGTCTCCCTTGTTGTCTTGGAATTCTCGGAGGGAGATGAGAACAATGTCTCCCGCGTTGACCCAAACTCTCTTCCTCATTTTCCCGCGGATGTGGCAGAGACGCCGCACTCCGTCAAAACAGTGGGCCTCCAGTCGGCCATTACCCAACATGCGCAGCACCTGGCCGTATTCTGCAGAAAATAACAAAAAGGAATTCCAAATGCAACGAGACGCAAATAACATAAGGCAGCAATAATACGGTGGCATTTTAAAGTGTGCATGAAAGTAAATTGCCGAGAGATATGCTGCTGACTAAGATATCGTATCCGTTCATCACAAATAGGGCAGTAATGAGAAAAGGGACGATAGAGAACACAAATGGGGCATATCTCAACAGCAACCCTCTTCAAAGACCCCATATCCATAAGTAGAGCCCCAACAATACCCTGGCCGTCTTCCTTGAATTGCAACTCGCGTTTTTCCCCCTCGTTGTCGTTCTTTCCCCTCCGGCGGTTCTTCCCTCCCTTCCCTACACGCCACACATCCACCAAACTGCCATGTCTCAACTATCGTTCACCATGGGCTACAAGCAAACGACTTAGTTATTTGTGATCAGACGTTAATGCTGAGCCCGCAAGGACGAGCCACGATCAACAACCTGACAACTTTGCCCCTGCTGTTGCAGGGCAAGCGGGAAGGACTAGTGCAGAAGGATCTGCTACTGGGGCTGCAAGACTGCTGCTGCAGTAGAGTTGGCGAGATACGGCTTGAGACGTAGCTACAAGCTGCAGTGCTTCCCGGGATTGCATCACTAAGTCAGTTGACACATGCGTAAAACTGTTGTAACGGGATGGCGGCTCTGACTATGCTGTAGAAGGTGACCCAACGCGTGCATATACACGTCAGGTAGTCCATAGAGCTCAAACGACCTTGTTGCAAATCAAAACGTGCGGAAAAAGACAAACCTTTGTTTTTCGGCATTGTGGCGAAGGGTAGCAGCGACTGTCGGGCTTGCGCTGCTTTTCGGTTAAGCCTCTCTCTCGCAGCAGCAGTGGGAAGCTTACGAACCCTCACCCTGAAGAGTGGCCACTGTAAGCCCCTACGAAAACCACAAGTCAAGGCCTATTCATGAGCACCAGGGAGCCGGGGGAAGATCTGGCTGCTGCCGCTGCGGCTGCTGTTGCTCCTGCGGCTGCTGCGGCTGCCGCGGCAGCAACCTCGGCCCCTTTTGCTGCGGGGACTTCCGGGATCACTTTTCCCACCAGTCCTGCTGCACTCAGCTTTTTGTTTGTACTGCGCAGATCCCCTCTTCACCTATTATCTGTAGACTTTAACAAAATCTTGAATCTTCATCGATATTCTTCTGGCTCTTCTCAAGGGTCTGCGCGGTTTGCGGGGAGGGGCGCGTTGCCCCACAGTCAGGAGCGATGCACACAAGTATGAGCATAGGTTTACCGTGGGCTTTTTCGATTAGGACGGTAAATGGGCAGGCACTCCTGCACCCTGGTGGTACCGGGGGCTTACTCGGAGAAATCGGTCCGACAAAATGAATGTAGCCTGGGTCTCTATGCATTTCCTTATCTGCCTCTTCGTATTGCAGGCCATCCCTCCAACCCAAGCTTTCAGGGAAGTGAGTTCACGACACGTGTTGCTGCCACTTAGCAGGGGCAGCAACAAGTGGGATGGGAAGACAAACTGGATACTCCCTTCCAGCAGTCGTCATTGCCTGAAGGCCTCCGAGTCTTGCCCTACCACCGCTGAAAAAAATGCGGTTGCGGACACAGCTTGTTCTCCTGGACCGGCAGCCGCAGGAGCAGGAGAGCGTTTCCCCTTTCAGGCAGAAGTAAAGCGGGTGTTGGACATCATCGTGCATAGCCTGTACACTGATCGCGATGTGTTCCTTAGGGAGCTTGTGTCCAACGCGGCAGATGCTTGTGATAAAAAGCGAGTGCTCCTTGAACAGCAAGGAGAGCAGCGTAAAAAGCAAGGAGTTCCGTGGAAGGGCTCTATTCGGGTGTATGCCGACAAAGCCGCAGGGACCTTGACTGTCGAGGACGACGGCATTGGAATGAGCCGGCAGGAGCTGATTGATCACCTAGGCACAATCGCGCAGTCCGGTACGTACAAGTTCGCACAACAACTTCAACAGAAAGAGCAAAACTTGACAGGCGTCTCTCCAGGGAATGCGAGCGATCTAATAGGTCAGTTTGGGGTTGGATTCTACTCTGCGTTTCTGGTGGCGGAAAAAGTCGAAGTTATATCTTCCCGTTGGTCCTCCCCGAACGCAGAAGGTGCCGCCTCAGAGTTTCCGGAAGTCTGGAGGTGGAGCTCTAGCTGCGGCCAGACCTTCTCGTTGCACCGACTTGACGCAGTGGCGGAGCAGAAAAGGTGGCAGCAGCAGACGTGTCAGCTGCACCGCAATTTGCAGCAGCAGGCATCAAAGACTTCCCACACACGCACACTGCAGGAGAGAGAGCAGCAGCAGGAGCACCAGGATGCGCAACTGGAAGAGCAGCTGCGGCAGCCTTGGACGGGCACTCGCGTGGTTTTGCATTTACGGGAAGACAGCGATGACTATTTAGAGGATTACAAGTTAAAGGATTTGGTTAAGAAATACTCAGAATTCCTTTCTGTGCCCATTTACCTTCTGGGGGAGAGAGTTGAATATGAGCGCGTCCCGGATACAGAAGGGGCCACAAGCGGTGCCACCAAGTTTAAGACTGTGACAAATCGTTACAACGAATGGGCCCACCTGAATACTCAGCCGCCAATATGGCGAAGACCTGAGGAAACCCTAAGAGAAAAGGACTACGTGGATTTCTACAAGGCGACGTTTAAGGTAGGAAATAGAAGGAGGTGAACGGGGCAGACGTGAGTAACAGGGAACCGAGGTTTTGGGTAGAGGCAGGAAGGTGGAGACAGGAATTAATGGGCGATTAAACGCGATTTTGGGTCACTTGAATCACGGTGATGAACGCTCGTGCTTCTGGTTTGTGCTTTAGCGGATAGTAGTCTGTGTGTCTGCAATACTTTAATGCTTGCGCTGGCCCTTCGCTGTTGCTCTCGCAGGCCTATGATGACCCCCTTGCATTTCTGCACATGGCTGTGGAGGGCCAGGTCTCATTCAGAGCACTCCTCTACGTTCCGGGTTCTCTTCCTTGGGAGCTTTCCAGAAATATGTTTGGTGGGACGACATGCGCCAATTTCGTTTGTTCCTTACCACTGTGTAGCGTAAAGGAGTGACTCGTGGTCTCCACGAGAAATGTAATACTCATGCGTACAAGAGCAACACAGAAGGCAGACAAGATACGCTGCTTACTGTTTCCCTGATCAACTGAAATTTTCGAAGAATTTTGTTCGTCTTCTCAGATGAGGACTCTCGCGGTATTCGTCTATACGTTCGTCGAGTGTTCATCAACGACAAATTTCAAGAGGCAGTGCCTAGGTACATTTCCATGCATCTTGACTGTCTCTCCTTCAGGTCGTTGAGCTTTGACTGTGGCATTGCCGAGACGTGCAGGTGTGTTTTATGCGCCCTATGGCGTCTCGGTTTGACTTCGTGTGGTGGTGTTTTGTATTATGGCGGCTGCCTAGTAGCGCTATTTCTTTCAAGGCGGAGCTGCCCGCCGCGTTCTTTATGTTTTCTTCTGCGCGGCTGTTAAGGATGATTTCGCTCCCTCTACTGAGGCCTGTCTGCTCTCTGAGGACAGCGCGAGTACCGGAATCGATTTTTACACATCTGAATCAAGGCCGCTAAGTATTATACCGTCTTACGTATAAAACGTTTGTATTTTCCTGCAGTTATCTTTGCTACTGGTGTATAGTCTCTTCTTGGTGTTAATCCCTATGTACGTGGCTCATTCAAGAAATGTTGAGATGCGGTGTGTAGTCCTTGATGATCGGCGTGTCAATTGAGGCCCTTGTTGTCCTGCGTAGAAACGAACCCACGCGGGAGCCAAGCAAACCTATGAAAGTATCGCCGTGAATCTGAGACTATGCTAAGGACATCTGTACTGTCACTACATATTTAAAGCAACTACAGCAAATAGAAATACTGGTATTCCCTTCGGGTGGTGTCTGTTATTTTGCTGAAGTTGTCTTTTTGTACCACCGCGCATGACTAAGCTTCAGTGCTACGTTGCTTCCGGGTCATCTTTCTTTATGCTCCCCGAGTGGAACTGCATTACTTTGTTGACACGTGCTGGTTTCCCACCTTGTAACGCGCTGTTCTTTGGCTAGTAACTGTGCGTACTCGACAGGATTTTCTCTATCCGTCAGCCGTGGCAAGCAAACCAGAGACCTTCCATTAATTAAGAACTCATCTTGCTTTTTGCAGGTGGCTGACCTTCATTCGTGGTGTTGTAGATTCCGACGACCTTCCCCTCAACGTCGGGAGAGAGATTTTGCAAAAGTCGCAGATGTTGCGAATTGTCCACAAAAGAGTTGCAGCCAAGGCAGTCGAAATGATTCAGGCGATCAAGAAACAATCAAGCGAAAAGTGGAACCGATTTTGGGAAAACTACGGAAAATATCTCAAGGTAATCGATTTTCTAAGCCGTGCTGCATTTTTTGTATTTTTATCCTACTTGGACTTTGTCTTCATTTGTTCGTGCGTACGTGGTCTTGCATCTTGCTCCCTTTTAGTTGTCATTCTTTATCAATATTGCGTTGTTGGTTCGCTGATGATTTGTGGCTCCTGAGCGCCCTACGGGCTATGCGGAAAATTGCTCTTGCTGGAATTACCGACTGAGAAACCTCATTAAATGAGCATAAAAGGTTTTTAATGCTCCTTCATTTCCTTTTCGTGCTCACTTCATGGTTCTTGTGTTTTCTTGATAGTGTGTGTATTTGTTTCGAACTGTGGGCCGTCCCCCGGCCTTGGTGTTTTCGAGGAGTTTGCTCCCTGCATTGGGGTCTCTGTCTGCTAGTGGTAATACTAGTAATGTAATCTAAATGTTTATTAAAGATGGGTTGTTGCGCAAATTGCATATCGCGATTGTTGTTACGCAGCCAAAGGATGTGGCATGCTATACTGTGTCAGGTGTCGTCTTCGTGTAGTGGCAAGGAATGTTCGTTTCTTGTCGTGACCTTACATAAGGTTGATGTCCTTTCTTTGTCCCTGGCATCGTGTTTGTATCTCGTGGCAAGAGTCAGCGTCTTTTTTACTATTTTTGCAGATTGGGGCAGTTGAGGATCGCGACCAGCAGGAAGCCCTTGCATCTCTCGTGCAGCTTCACTCGTCTCATTCGCGTAGTGGTTTGACCACACTGGACGAATATATATCTCGCGTCGAAACCCGAAACAGAAGCATCGAGTCTGGAAGCCATCCACCACTGCCTGACGGGAGCATCGCCAAGAAGCAGAAGGCAATATACTACTTGGCTGCTGAAAGTAGGAGGGCCGCAGACGACAGTCCCGCGTTAGAGGGGCTGAAGGCTCGAGGGTTCGAGGTGTTGTTTGGGGTTGAGCCCTTGGACGAGTTTTTCTTGGCTTCATTAGCCATTGCGCAGTTCAAAGGGTGGCCTGTGGTGGATATTAACAAGGCTGACCTCCAGTTGGACGCTGACGAAGCGGGAGGGGAAGCAAAAAAAACGGATGGGACGACAGTGACGGAACAGCAGAAGCGCTTCGAACCTACCGACTTTGCCACGAAGAAAATTGAACTCGGAGGGTATGCTTACACATTTCGAGTATTATACCACATATCGTACACAGCATATACAGGAGTTTTGCAAGTCTTGTCATTGGGCTATGAAGCTAGAGAACATTGGTTTATTCATTTGTATGTACTTCACGATTTGCACATATGTCAGACTGCGGAGCTGTCAATCAGTGCAGGGCCTCGCCTCATCATTGCTTCTATTGCATGTTTCGCCTTGTATAAAAACTTGTTTTCGGCAGTCGTGTTTTTTGCCGTTCTGACGCAGCATTCAGGCATCGTTTGCTTTCGTCCATACGTGTGCTTAGTTGTAATGGGTGGTTCGGACATCGTGCTTTGCGTTTTTTTGTGTTTTATGCTGGTGGCCCGTTGATGAGTTTTAGCATCTGAGTTCCTTAGGGATCCTGAGGAAGTTTGCTATAGCTGGAATTACCGACTGAAATCTCGCTATCAGAAATGCTCGTTTTTTCTTCTTTCGGTTCAGTTCCCTTTGATTTGTGCCTCGTGGGTTTTGGGGGGGGCGGAGGGCTTTTATACTCTACGTTTCCGGTGGAATTCTGCGCCTACAGAAAAGATTTGGCCGAGTTTGTATGTAGGTTCTCTGTACAGCTTCTGCACTGTGTTGTTCTCCTTTTTGCCCTGGCAGATCCCGTTGTGCGTTCACTCTTGATTCGAATTTTTATATATAGCAGTTACAATTGCACTCGTCTGATTTGTTTTCCAAGTCGGTGATGATTGGCGTGTCAGTTAAGGGCCTCGTTGTCCTTCGTATCAGCGAACCCACGCAGGAGCCGAGCAATCCAATGCAATCACTGCCGCGCACCTGAGACTTGTTTCAAGGAATTCGATGGATGTAAACGTGACTCCTATTGTCTCGTATTCTATGTTTCGAAATGGAATGAACTTGTATATTGGTCTCGGTGGTGTGTATGCAAGTCTCACTGCGTCAATCTGTTTCATTTGTCTTTGGCTTTGCTGCTCTCGACAGTAAAAGGGTGACGTGTTGGAGGGAGTAGACATATTGATTTGCTGGTGGTCGTCTGTCCTATCCACCAGCGTGTATGTGCCTAAACATTTTATCGCATGCTTACTAATAGTCTAGATGTATTTCGCCGAGATCAATGGCACATTGAGCTAATTCAGTGAGAACGTGCGTCTTCCATGCGCCGTGTGTATGCCTTCAGCTTGGTCGAGTGGCTTCAGCAAACGCTGGGTCCCCGCGTGCACAACGTGGTTTTATCTTCTCGCTTGCTGACACATCCCGCAGTTTTAGTTCAGGGTCAAATGGGCCTGTCCCCTACGATGCAGCGCTACATGCAGCAGCAGGCGGCTGCCCAAGGTGTCTCTGAACAGAAATTGTTTGGAGCGTCCCTGAATCAACCAATTCTGGAGATTAATCCTACGCATCCCATCATCAAGCAGCTCGATATGATGGTTAGCTAGCTTTCACCAGGGCGATGTGTTTTGTGCACTTATACTGCTTGATCGTAGTAGCAACTGAGGGCATCAGCTGGGGAGCTCATAACCGTGTGTATGTGATTCGGGATGACGCACACTTTCATGGTTCTTAGGGTTCCGCGATTTTTCGTTCTTGTTCGTCCACTGTGTTGGTGGTTTTTCCTTTTGCCAATGTAAGATTTCGCAGCTTGCACATCGGCATAGTTTATCATACGTACGTATTTTGCGTTTCCGTGAAATGTATGTACTGCGGACACTGCATGTTTTTCGAATGTTGGCGGTACGATGGCTTTGTGCAATGATGCCCGATAGTAGATAATGAGTGCCTCGCAAGAAACGAGGATAATGAATTCTCATTCGGAAGAATCTGAGCAGATATTTGTTGCCGAACCATTTGTCGTGTACGCCCTTGGTGTGAGCTGCATGGGTGTGTGTGTGCGCGTTTTTCTGGCTTCCTGCGCTGATGGATAAGATTTTATATCGAGCTTTTCTTGCAACGAGAAGGGCACTGTGTATTTCATAGGAAGAGTCTGAGCAGTTGACTATCCATTTCCGTGATGACGATTTGTGGGAGGCCGCTGTTTTAAAATCCATGCAGCGCTTCTTAGTGTCTCGCACGTGTGAGCAAGCAGCAGACGTGCATTCATTTTTGACGACATGCTGGGTTTTCACATTCTCTTGTGCATTGATCAAATTGGACAGTACTCTGGTTGTCATGTATCATACTTAGAATTGTCATAGTTCTCTTAGCAATTGTGCTTTTCGCCATGTTTTGGGCTAGTGGTGAAATAACTTATTTTAAGGAGTGTTATTAGATTTGTGCTGTTTTCAGGTTCGGTCTGACCCCACCAGTGCACGCGCCAAATCGTTGGCACTGGAGTTATTAGCAGTGGCGTCTCTTCAGGGTGGCTACTCGCTAGAGGACCCTGGGGGTTTTGCGAAGGCTATGATTGAGCTGCTGAGAAGAGAGGCAGATAGATACCTGAAAGAACGATCGGATAAGTCGTGATTATTCATGGCGAGTGCTTTTAATGAGAGGCTGTTGTGGGCTAAATCTACGGCTATAATTTAACGTTTTTTTGTTCTTTTACACAGCTGTAGAAAGGAGAGGCTCAAGATAGCACTTCTCACTGCTGATCGTTTTTGTGCGCGAATGGATGATTAGCATCGTTTCTCAGTTTATCTGTATACAGGCAGATATACGCATACAGACGCGTGTATTATAATTTTATGTGTACATGTCAGTACAGAAAGCCGTGGTGTAGAGAGCATTTATGTGCAGGCTGTAGGGAGGGCTGTGCATTAGAGGAGCCCCAGTCCCGTTTTTGGTCACAATTCAGGACCTCTTTAATGTGCAATTTGTCTTAGCCAGTGCCATTTCAACAAGTGTACGGCAGGTAGGTGCCGCAAAGCCTAAAAGTAGTGCTCTGTACTCAAATTCTGCCCAGCAGTTGCGCTAAAAACAGGAGGGACTGAGTGCAAAGCTGCTGGCCCTGCATAAAACTGAAGTACCAATTTGTGCGTGGGTTGCCGGTGCCGTGCTGCGGCCGTCCTGCTTCGCCTTCGGGGTGGCAAGCAGAGATCATAGTCCATAACTGTTGCTGTCATCCAGCCAATAGGTTTATACAGTTTGGGGATTGCATGTGCAAGCGTTGTCCAATCGTAGGGCTGGTTCTACGTTGCCGGTGGCGCGTGGCAAAATGACCCTACATGTGCTTAATTTTTGCATTAGTGCGGAGTATGGGGAAGTGTCTAGTTGGAGTTGAACCAGTCTACATAAGTACCCTACATGAGTACAACTCGGGGGAGGTGCTACACCTTCAGTGAAAAATTGAGCTCTTACTATGTTGATTCGCGGTTTAGCACTTGCCTTCTCATGATACTGCTTGATTAAGCTTTCGCGTGTGTATTTAGTTGTGAACTTCAAAGGCCACGGTAATCTGAGGTGGGTAGGCCTTCATTAGCGGGACAAGTCACAGTCTAGTGGGCAGAGCGGCGGCGGACTGAACTACTGCGGCGGACAGCATTTTTGCGCGATTTCCCTCGTGGATAGGCACGTGAGGGGTCACTTTTGGCAGCGCAAGATCTCTAGGCAAACGTGTTTGAGGGGTTCAGTAATAACTTTAGACAGATATTTGTTTCGTTTCTTGCTTCATGGATTGTATATGTCTTATGTCTAATGTTTAAACGCTCGCAGCCTACAGGTTTTTGTGTTGGACCAGATTTGATGTCGCGTATGTGGAACCGTTAGGTGTGGTGGGTGGCACCATTAATGGTGCTGCACCCTAAACGAAACCAGTAAAAATGGTTTCAGCCCGGTGCAGTGAGGTATGTAGGAAATTCGGCTGTCCAGATATCATCTCCCACTGATGACTTGTTTGCCTTACTTCAAGTATCAAATGGATAAGCGAATCATTTCCAAAGCAGACGAGGCCGTGTTCTAACCATATTAGTGGCCATTGGATACACGTGCGGGTTTCTACGTATCCACCTCTCCCCCGAGTTTGGCGAGCATGGTGGTCGGCCCGTCGATGGCAAACGGCTCGAAGGGCAGTAGCTGCTTGCCGGAAGTCTGAAAGGCATGGAGCCTGATGGGACACATGACGCACCACAAAGGAGCGTGGTTCAACGTACCCTTTGTTCTTCGAGGGTTGCGGCCTCCCAGTAAATGTCGCTTAGGAGGACCAGACTCTGTCTTTAATTAGAGTCCCAAAGCTGTTCCAGAGGTAGTGCAATGCCTAGGCTGTTAGCCAAGCAGCTGCTAGTTAGCACGAGGCAGCACAGCAACGCTGACTAAGCAACCACCCTTCTGGAGAGCAGTGTGGCTTGCAAACACTTGTTACCCTTCTCGCAAGGCCTTGGGTTCGTCGAGATGGCAGTGGGTGGCCAGGCGAGAGAAGCATTGCCCCACTGTTTCCTCATTGGCACTCTAAGAACGACATGGGCACCTCATAGAGAAACGCCTAGTGTTTAGAAGTTGCTAAAGGAGTTGCTGCTGCCTATATTTCTGTTACGGGTACTGGTACTGTTCCAGAGGCAACTTCATGCACTGCATATGCAGCTAGTGTAGCTCACTTTGACGTCGAGCCCGTGTAGTACAATCGCTAATTGAAAAAGGGCCGCCTGGAAGGCCGCCAGGTCCATCTGGCTTCCGGCAACTGCAGCAATCGCAAAGAGCAATAGCTGTGGACTACCAAAATAAAAGTATGCGAACTCTCCGGAGCCACCAGTGCAACTACAGTAATAGGCGTGTCGGGAGCATAACTAAGAATTGTGCCCGATCGGACAATCCCAGCACTAAGAACACCAACAGCTGCACCTTGCTTGAAGAAGCAGACCATCTGAGGCGCAGGCGCCAAGTTGACAAATAGTGAGAAGCGGGCCCAGGCTTTCTGGTTGAGGAACTTTTGGGGGGCGTCGCCACAGGCAAACACTTCAAAGAGCTTCTGGATGCCCCTTTGGGTCTGCTGAAGAAGTTGTCGCATTGTGCGGCTTTGTAGCAGTCTCTCCTGCACCCGCCGAATGTCTTCTCTCTCTGTCTTATTGACAACCGTCCTGTTGTTGCTGAATAAGCGGCATTTGACTATGTTACTGCTTCCTCCACTGCTCCTTTGGGAACTAGAAACGTCTTTGGCCTGGTCGTTTTGGAGATGCAGGATATGACAAGCTTGAAGAAATTGTGTTGTGGGGTCATGGAACACAAATCTTGCTGATTCCACTAGAAATGTTAATACGCCAGCAACAGTCCCTTCTGCCTTTGCAGCTAGTTGCTTGTTTGCCTAGATGCTCAATTAGGTGCTAAAAGTAACCAGTCAGCCCCAGACGGGGGTTCGTGGTGGCGGAAGCGGTATGTACCAAGTTAATTTTCTAGGCAAGAGAGTCATCCAGACATTGAATAGACGTTGAGTCAACCGGGAGGAAGAGACACAAAGAGAATAGCCCTTCTTGAACGAGAGAGCTACCAAACAAGCAACCGGCTGGTGCTGAAAATGTGTATGGAGAAGGGGCGAATAGGCATCTAGGCAGTTGCGTGACTCACAGGAGGCAGGTAGGGGCGCACTTGACTCCACGATAACCATGGCGCATTCAGGGGGTTTTGGGCCTGCAAAGGTCAATTTAGTAAGCAACACAGAATACGCCACTAAAAGCAAGGAATATTCACAAGCAACAAGTCAGCAGCAGCCAACAAGCGATAGCAGTAGTAGTAGCAGCAAACCATACTGTCCTTCCAGATATTGCAGACACACACGAAACTTCAGCGTTAGCACGGAGAGCGTACAAGAACAGTGGCACAAAGAACACAAAAGATTACAAAGGAGGCAGGTAGCCGCTGATCCACTTCCTCGGGAGAAAAAGTTATATCGATGCGTTAGATGTTGAACCTAGCTTGTGGCATGTAGGACAAAACCGAAAGATAAAAGACAGCCAACAATGTGCCGGACCAGCAGGGCTAGCAAGAGGGGAACCGGCAGCACTAAAGTCACCTGTTTCAAGTCCCCCTGCTGCTGCCTCTCCAATTCACCCCGTGAACGTTGGGCTCTACCATCTTCCTGTTCCTAAAGGACAAGAGCAGCGGCAGACCTAGGCTATGGCTTCAGTTTTGAAGCTACAAGTTCTAGACCTATCGATTTTTGTGCCTCACGTGCTTCTCGTCTGTTGTGGATTATGAGGCTGTTGGTATTGATTGAAGCTGGAGAATTAAAAACATTTTGCATGGTCCTCGGAGCGTGTCAGGGTTGTCACGAAAAGGATATTGAGTTCTCAAGCTTACCTGCATCCACTGTCCAGCCCTGTACAAAGCCTCCGCATGTATCTCCGCGAGCTGCTTCTTGTAGATATTCGCAGCCAGTGAATTAGCTTTCGAAGGCCACTGCTCTTCAACACCCCTAGTGACTTCCCTCACTTGCTGAAAAGACAACAACACAAATCCGGATCCGTGGGTTTTATGGGGGCTTACACATTAAGCCTGATTATTATCAGTTGCCGTCTAATAAAGGCAGGTTACACCATAGATGGAAGGTGGGAGCCCACACAGCAAGTGCTATTGACCCACAGTGTGGATAAGAAGGCATGAAAATGCATTGCAATCGAAGGAAGTGGACAGAGAAAAAGCAAAATAATGGCGAAACGAAGGCCGAGAGGAAGTTCAAGGCAATGAGGGAAGGGAGAATAAAGACAGCGATGGACACAGACCAAGCGGAATCGTAAGGTGAGAAACGTGACACCGAACGTCCCAGTTTCAGAGGGAGTTTTCAGGCACACAAGTAGAAGGGAGTGATATCAAACATGACAAATATGGATATGAGCTTCCGGGAAACGCATGACACACCAAAGAAGCTTACCCAGTGCTGCCTTGTTTTCTCTGCCACTGCCCACTTTTGAACCGCCGCTGGGGAGGCATCTTCAAGAACTGAGACGACTGACGGCGGTCGTGAGATCCTGGAGTGCACTGCTGCAGCTGGGGTAGCGTTAGCTGCAGTTGCTGTTACCGAGGCTAGAGGAGAGTTCCCTCTTTGACGGAGGACCACCCTTCTGCCCAGACAAGCGCAAGACTGCTGGACGCATGACCCAATGCAAAAGTGTTTCAAGATTTTCTAGAAGTATGCGCATGCTTCTTACGATTTCAAGCTAGAACCTAAAGCATAGTTAACGAAGAGCAATACGAAAGCACTGCATAATTATGCGGGAAGACCGAGCGGCAGACTCTGAATATTGGAAGGCATGCAGTGAACCCGGACTTAACACTTGTGCCGTCTTCGCCCTTCTTTTCAGTGAGCATAAGGCCTGGGTGTGCCAAACAACGACAGCCGCATTTTTAACTTAGACAACAAAAGCAAGACCGTCCACTAGGGTGGGAGCAACTACGCAAAGACAAGCGAGGACAGAATTGATCCTTAGCTCGGTCGGTACGCCCGGTATTTATGGCTGCGAAGTTCTCTTATGAACGTGGTGGCTATGTATTCGTCGTACCCGGCGGCAGCCTGTGTAGTGTTCCTCCGGCGTTCAGGA